AACCTTTAACTAATCCTCTTGGGGTAAATTTATTTCTTTTTAACTGTTGTTCTATTGAAAACTTTCTTCCGAAGAAGAAGATTTGATTTATGCAAATGAGTGGTTCTATTTAAGCATTGACTTTTAGGTACGCGAAGTTAGTCGACGAGTAGTTTCTGGGAGATCAATTATTGCTAATTGAAGAATAAGCTATAAGATTGAATTTAATGATAACAACCAGAGGTCGTACAAGAAAGAAAATTACGGTGAATTATACCGTAGAAGTCCAAAGTGTTCTAAGAGTAAGGGAATTAGATTATACTCACATATTAAGTATCCTTTAGCCGTGTGATTGCTCTTATAATTAGTAGCGTTTTGCATTTCCTTCCCTGAGTTGTTTGATTTAAGTTAGTGAATAAATAAAGTGGAATTTGAACTAGTTATGGCTGATATTTACTAGAACCTAGGGATGGCGATCTGAGATTAATTAATCGAAAAATCGATTTCTTGGGCCCAAAAAAATTGATTTTTTTAAATCGATATGTAGCACTGAATCGATACTTCATCCTAGAAAACCATAAAATTATTTACAATTAATTGAATGTACTATCTTTAAAACCCGTAATATTACGGTGGTTAAAGGGTTAATTTACTGACAAAAAACTAACTCCATTTATCATCACATTCACTCAATAGCCATGATGTGTATGGATATCGTGGGATTATCTGTTCCTTGTGAGCGCCTTTTTTCGATTGCCGGCGACTTCACAAGTGATGAGCGGAACCGCTTGGATCCTAGTAGACTTGACAGACTACTGTTTTTAAAAAGCTTAGATATCAAGCATTGGGAACTATAAGCTATATTATCTATTTTCTAAACTTTTTATGTAACAAATACATTTAGAAAATGAATATCTGCTTTTATACCTGATACTTTGATATGGTAATAAAAATAATAGTAATTGTCGAATTCTCTGAACTAAAAAATTCCCTGATTTTACAGATAAGAGATTGTTTATTATGGTGTCTTTCTTGTTTTTTATAAAATGGATTTATATATAATTGCAGTGTAAATCCAGACTTGGAAAAAAAATCGATTTTTTAGAAATCGATCTTTCAGTACTCGAGTTTTTTGTGAATCGATTTAAAAATCGATCTTTTTCGGAAAGAATCGCCATCCCTACTAGAACCCCCAAACACCAACAACCTCAATGCGGTTGTTGCATTGTATTATTATTATTTTTATTGTTTAGTAGAGATTAGCTGAGAACAACGCGTTACATAGTAAATGACATAGAGAAAGCTTAAAGCAAAAGCAGGCTTATATCGGCCAGATGAAATTTGACGATGATGAATCTTTCAATCACTAGAATGACCGTGTTTTCACAATAAATGATTAAGAAGCTAAAAAAAGAAAATAATGCATGTAGAAGTTTCCACTATGGTTTCTTAGGATGTCAGCTATGAAAGCATCTCATAGATTCATTTTTTTTGCCAGTAAGAAGTGAACACCTTGGCAAAATTGTATCAAGATACTATCTAACGGCCAATAGTGAAGCACCTGAACATAAACCTGTTAAAACCCTGGGACGGTCACACGAGACACAGAATCACCCCAGGCTCACAAAACCTTTAATTCTGGAAAAACTGTTTATTTGTTACCAATAACCTTCACAGTATCCTCCTATATGACAGTTTTCATGGGGGCTAAAATGTATTTGTCTCATAAATCCCGCTTTTTCGGGAGTGTCAAACGTTTTTTACAATCTTAAGGTACTTGGGGGTGACTGAGGTCCTCGCGCTACCACTTTTGTTCCAAAATATTTTATATGAACAGGCTACATTTTTCTCCAGTGGACAAATTAGTGGTTTTAATTGCTGTGTTGTACGACTCATTATGTTTTATAAATGTAAATTAACAGAATATTAATAA